GGTTAGACCGGGAGGAAGGAAATCTAATTCCGTGGCGACCAAAGTCAAGAGACTTTTCCGCCGACAGGACGGGGGTCTAAGGAGAATCCTCGGAGGCGCGTTGAGAGAAATCCGAAAAGCGCACTCAACGATCCGGGTGATCCGTGGCGCGAATCGGCCTTCCGGGCCCCATTTTTCGCGAGGAGGGTTCCCCTCCGCGCGGAAAAGCAGCGGTAAGGAGGCCGAGGGACGGGCCGAGTTATGGCTGCCCGCGTGGCCGGGGAGGTTGCGCCGTCAAATCCTCGCGAAGCCCCGGATATCCGGCGGCTCCTCGGCGGAATTTATTTTTAATGAAGTGGCGCCTCGCGGTCTGGCCCCAGCCCGCTGGCAGCCTCCGGCGGCGCGCGACCCTCACCCCTCGGAGCGCCGCCGCAGTCTGCGGCGCGTCGACCGGCGCAGCGGACCGTTCCCCCGGGGACCCCATAGGCGCGTGGGGGGAGGGGGCCCACCGGCCGCGGGGATTGGCCCGGGTCGGTACGCACGGCTCCGAGGTGGCCCCGGGAGGGTGGGTGGTTAGGATAGACGGAGGGATGGTGGATAATATAATGATGGCGTCGGCGGGCAAGGTGGGGCGGGGCTACGAGGGGATCAATATTATCCTCCCTCCTCTCCCCCTCCTCCGCCGCGCCACCTCCTCCACCAGCCACCGCCGCTCCCCGACTCCTGCCGAGCCGCCCGGTCTTCTTCGCCGCTCGTCTCGCTCTGTCTCGCTCCGTCGCCCTCTCTCCGCGGCGGCCTCGCTCCTTCTCGCACCCGGCGCATCCATCCGTCTCTTTCTCCGCCCCGCCGGCTCGGGCCCACTCAGCCCTCTCGGCCGCGGGCCGGTGACGTGCGTGTGCGTCTTGGACGCGTCGATACTCCGGCCGCGGCCACGGGGGGGGAGGGAGGTTTACCGCGGCCTACGGGTATACGACCGCTCGTCATCTTTCAAGATGGACCCACCTACGAGCCCCGGGACATAATTGGGGGCAATCTTCGGTCTTCAGGGGAGATTAGGGGGGGTTAGGATTCGATCTTCCCGGAGGCGGGGAATTACTGCACGCCCGGAGTGCGTTGCCGACCTGGAGGTAGAGCTTCTAAGCGTCCGCGGATCTTCCCGGCCGGGCGGAGGAAATGGTGCCGTGAGCGGAGACATCCTGGAATGACCAAATCGACGGGGAGAATATTTCTCTGGGCTCTGTAACGGTCCGATCTAATTGGGCTGTCGCTTTTACGACATCTCGTCGAACGCCTACTCGCGCGAAGAGCAATTTTTCAGTTTTTTTAAGCCTTTACGGACCACGCAAGACTTGTTTCGTAGCGCCTCTAATATGAGTTGGGCGTTATCGGCGACGCATTAACCGACGCATTAACCCTTCTGGGAGGAAACGCTCCCTTTTCTGGGACACCTCCAATCGGAAGAGAGGTAAGGTCCTCCATGGATCTTTCGAAAAAAAAGAAAAAAAAAACCTCGAAGATGCTTTGGTCACCTCGCCGACCGGCCATCTTTCTTCCGTAGGCCACGAAGCCTTGACCGTAGCGCTCGGCATTCCCCGTAGCGAAGCGAGACAAATCGTCGCCGCCCGAATGTCCGGCCCGGGCATTAAGACACCATGAGACCATGGTGAATGGGGCCGTGGTTCTCTCGGCCATCTATACAGGATCATGGCGCGGGAGAACACCGAGGGAAGGAGCGCCCGGGGGTGGGGTGATTGATGAGGACCCCGGCCACGGTCTCATTACAGTTATATAAGCTTCCGTAGATTGAGCCGTGCAGAGGCTTATACGCCGCCAACGGGGGGGTTGTGATTTGATGAGGTTTTATTGCTCGCATGACGTGATAGAGGAGAGGGCAGCCCCGTTGTTCGACCGATCGCCCGGTCGAAACCTCTCCTCTCGACTTTTCGTCCCCGTCGAGCCCTGTCCGTTCTAGATAACAAGGACCATGATACATGAGATACGCTGCTCAACCTTCGGACCCTAGTTGCAAATGGATCGAGACGGTCAATTTTCAAAAGAAAAATCCGGACAGCTCGTCTAACGTAAAGATAACGAGAGAAGTCCTTTCCAGACCTTTTCCAGTTACCAACCAAGACCCACCCAAGTTCGACTTCGAGGAACTCGATCGACGGAGGTAAAGAAGAGTTTTCTAAATACCTATATCGCCGACGTTCGTTTTTATATTGACAGCTGTGTCGAATTATATTCGGTACTGTCCTAAATGGCATGCTCCACCTGTCGTTTCGTACAATAATTATTAAGAAATCGAAGTAAAACTCTAGAAATCCTCTAGATTCATGGTTTCTGAGGCCTTAATTGACTGTAGAGGGACCCCCTGCGCCTTTTGTCTTTCATATTAGAGCCTTTAATAATTCGATATCAATCGAAATATGTGTCAATGTTTCTGACAGTTCTATCCAGTACCCTTGGAAAAAAGTGTCTTATTTAAATCGACTGATTTGAGAGGGGTTTCACTTAACCTTAACAGGGTGCTTTTGCCACACACAATCCTCCCGGTCAACTGAAGGCATGAAGGCATCTCAGCAAGGTTCGAGTATTTGTTTCTTAACGAGAGAAGTGCTGCTTTTTCGAGAGCTTAGGTGTTTCCGAAGGGACTCTTCTGGAACGCAGCGCGTATTTTCCAAGCCGAGGAAAGCCGATCGCCCGAGATTTGAAAGTTCATTCATCAAGTTTACGAGCCACGGACGGGTCGTCGGGTCGTTCTCGCTGGTTGCACAGATTTTGCGATGCCGTTAAAGTTTATGGGCGCGGCCTCGTGTACGAGCCGGCCTCGCCTGCGCCTCGAGTTTATTGATTCTCGAGCCAAGGCATCTTCGTTCTCCGTTCGCCGTTGTGCAGAGTTTACTCCCTCTTACCTTGCCCTGGACGAAGAAACGGAATAGCCCGTCCCACTTCTCCGTCATGCGTAGACCCAACCCCGCTGAAGGTACTCCCCATCTGAGGCTCCGTTCTTAAACAACCTCGGGATTTCCTCGTATTTTGTGTCGAAGGACTCTGCGATGGATTGCCCGTGAATTTGAGTACAGGGGTTTACGAAAACTCGAATGGGTCTGACAAGAGCCAAGGAAGACAACCCACGGTCCAGATTGAGGGAACTGCACGTATTTTGAAACATCTAGGTCAGAGGTGTCCAACACACACACGCATATATATATATGATATTTTAGTGAATTAAAATTCGGTTCATTGAACCAAAACGTTTTCTGAAATGAACCAAATGCAGTCCCTAGGATGATTTAGCTAAACGAATCAAATTTTATCCCTGTAAAATGCAAATAACAGCTAATTAGTACGAAAGTTTCCCCTTTTCGGGATAACTAAGCCCCGGGGTAATTTAAAATTGATAAATAGTAACGAGAGGTTGTATTAACAAAAAGTACGAAGAGAAAACAGAATGAGGTGTACGGCCAAGTAAAGCCGGGCGAGCCACGGGTCCGTAGGTAATGATTAAACACCCTGCACAATTCTTCGACGAAGATTCCCAACTCCCGATTAACGACATTTCCCTCCACCCTGACGTTCTCCAGAACCCGGAGAATACCACACGCGAGTAGGTCCGGAAGGTGTGCACCATAGCAGGCGAAAGTCGGAGCATTACTCTTCATTAGGGTGGTTCCACCCACTTTCGCAGCCCACTTTCAATGACTCGTCGCGCCTCTTAGCGTTTCCGTGGCGCGATCGCAGGACCATCCATCTTGCGGCATCCTCGCCCACCATCTTCCGTTATCCTTCCCCCATTCCTGGCTGGTTCCCCCCTCGTCGGGTTCTAGGCTCCCCCGGGCCGACCCTCCGTGCCCTTTTCCCGCTCCTTGCTCCTTACAGTTACGGGAGATCGACGTGTATCTGAGCGCAACCACCCGTATAATTGTCGAGGGTGGCCGAGACCCCCCGGAGGTGGGACCTCGACCGAAGGTCGAAGTCGAGCTCTCCGGGTCGGGATCGGAGGCTGGAGCCCTGGAGCCAAGCCTGGAGCCGAAGATCGGGGAGGCTGGAGCTGGAAGCTGGGGTGGCTGGGGCTGGAGGTTGGGACGGAGGTCGGGGAGGATCTCGAAGCACGGAAACGGCTGACGAGGTTTGCCTCGTAAAGTATCGAGCGCGGGAGCACCGCCTTGAATTAACGCCGTCATATTTCAGGATGGAGGAGCCCCAGGGTTTCCCTTACCATTTGTCCCGCGAAGCTCGCCTCGGCTTGCTCCGTCTCGCGTTAACGAATAATATCCCCGAGACGTTGGGCATAAATCTGCCGCAGAGAAATTTTTCGATCGCACGTTTCCCGGTGCAGTGATCTCGGTTGATCGATCTAAGAGGTTTCGAGGTTTCGGACGTCATCGATCAGTGGTCGGGACTAAGTGCGATCGATTGACTGCCTCGTTGAGGTGTTAAGGTAGGGTGGTGGGGTGATCCCTTCGGAGGGAGGTCTCTCTCGGTCTCGCGTTAATTCCGTCGGTTTGGCCGATCTCCGAAGTTAAGCATCATCGACCGGAGTTAAGCGGTCGGCGGTGGTCGGGGATCCGGGTTATCGTCGACCTGGTTTCGGGATATCAGCGGGGGGCATCGTCCGCAGGTCCAACCAAAAGTAGACGCCGAAACAACTGGGCAGAACGGAGGCGTTGTCTAGAGACTGCTGAGGGGTTTGCAGAAGTCTTTTTTTAACTCCGTTCCCACAAAATGAATTAGGACAAGTGGCGAAACAAGTAACATTTATTCTCTGCCATTGGTCGAATATGACCTGCAACAAAATATTGATTAACAGGGAAACTTTTAAGAGTAGACCAATGGGGTATGGTCGAACGGGATTGCCTCGGGAACACAGAAAATATTCCAGGGAGTGGACGACAATGAACTGCGATTCGCTGTATGTATGGCCGGTACCGAGTATACATAAAAAGTATACACATACACACCCCCTATTCACAAAAATACTCCCGTAATTGCTTCAACTCGATGTTCGTTCTGTACAGGTCTGGTTCAAGAACAGGAGGGCCAAGTGGCGAAAGCGGGAGCGCAACGCCGCGGCGGCCACGGACTTCAAGTCCGGGTTTGGGGCGGCGGGCCTGAACAGCTTCATCGGGCAGCCCTTCCCGGACGCGGACGCGCTGTACAGTTCGTACAGCTCGTACAACAACTGGGCGAAAGTACCGTCGCCACTGAGCAGCAAGAGCTTCCCCTGGGCGGTGAACCCGCTGGGCTCGGTGGTGCCCACGGCGTCGCACCACCACCACCACGCCCAGGTGAGCCCGGTCAACTGCTTCAACGCGGCCGCCACCTCGGTGGCGGGGAACCACGTTGGGGGGATGTCTGTGTCGGTGGGCCAGGCCGCGACCTCGATGCTGCCAGGCATGGGGTCCGGGCTCGGCGTGGCGGGGTCGCCGGTAGCGGCGTCGGGGGCCGCCTGCCCCTACGCCGCCCCCGCTGGGCCTCATCCCTACGGGACCCCGATCTATACGCCGCACCACCGGACCGCGGCGACCTCCGAAACCTGCACGGTCATGTCGGACAGCATCGCCGCGCTGCGATTGAAAGCCAAGCAGCACAGCAGCGGCTTCAGCACCTCGAGCAGCGGCTTCAGCACCTCCAGCAGCTACAGCGCGGCCGGCGGGACCGGCACCACCGGAGGCGGCAGCATCAGTCCCGGAAGCTCGCGGGCCTCCTCGGGGGGCGGCCTGAGCGCCTGCCAGTACGCCTTGACCACCGGGGGCGCCAACCCCCACTCCCCGGGACCCGAGCACCCCAACGCCACCGCGCGGGCCCAGGTGTGAGGCAAGGCGGGGGCTGCGCACAGCCCCCATCAGGTCGCCGTCTCCGCGGGGAACTCTCTCGGCGGACCAGGGACCAGCCAACCCGAGGGCCACGGCCACCAGAACGAATGACCCAGGCCCAGGTCCGCCGCCTCGCCGACCTTGTCCTCGACTCCGTCATCCGTGGCGTCGCCGCAGCACTACATCATGTATGACGAGGTGGGCATCGCGACGGACGACAGGTTGGAGGACGAGCGCATGAGCCTGAGGCCCGGCGGTATAGGCGCGGACCTCATCGGTGGAGGTGTCGGCGTTGGGGGCATGGTCTACGGGGGGGCCGGGGCCCCAGGGCTTGCGGGGTATTGGCAACACGCTGCCACCACGGATGGGGGTTGCCGGCCCACCCTTTTCGACTGCTGGCCCTCGACCACCATTTTGCCCGGCGCCCAGGCCTTGTCACTTCCTCGCGATGACAACCGGGCCCAGTAGGCCTCCTCGTCCTGGCGACCTCTAGGAAGTCGAGAAGCACGGGGTAGAGTACTCGGGAGGGACTAAGGCCCATGTTTCGGAGAACGACGTCACGATGATTGCGAGTGCGGGGTGCCGGATCTCGGATGCAAAGCCTATCGCGGGACGTCACGAGCGGGCTTTTCGACGGCTATGCTTGGGCTAAAGGAATGAAGACGATACGGTTGCAATTCGGGAATGGTGATCGGACGGTACACTTGCTCATCCCAGGGGGATAATGATCGCGACTGCGAATGTCTGCACCAGTTCTACAATCGTCTAACAATCGTCGAAGCTGTAGTTCTATCGTTGACATTGAAGCCGTCGACATCATCCGAGTAGGTCTTTCGCGACTTCGATGCCCTCCCAAATGAGCCATGGGCCCCCTCGTTCCCATGGCCGGGATGTTATGGGCCGAGAAATCCTCGACACGATCTGTTCACGAAATTGGATCCTGAAGCAAACGCTCGTTACCTCTCTGAGGTTTCGGACAATGCAGGGACGGTCTTCGTGCGGTCCTCTCGACCGTCTTTGGGTCAGGGCTCTTGATCTTACCCCAAACAAGGTAACCAAAATGGACAAAGTCCATCCAAGTGGCACTAATTATGAGAGACTCTTCTTGGCGTTCCTAGAAACTCCCAGAAGACTGTGATGAAGACGTCAGGTAGATCTTGATGCGTCGTGCAATATCTCGGGATCTCCTGTTAATAGCGAAGCGAGCCAGTAGGAGTTCGCCCTGGTGAACGTTTTTTCGATTTCAGCACTCTTTGTCGTATATCTCGTTGGTTTCTGGACGTTCGGGCTCCTTGCTCTTTAAGGCTATTCGAAGAGCTTGGGTTTGAAGAGGTGCGGTCGAAGGAGGTTCGCAATCAGGTGATCGGCTTGACTCAACCTTGGAGGCATCGCAACGGGCCTCCGAAATGATGAGCGCTGCGGAGATCGCATACTCACCCTACCCTGTAGATAACTGTATAGTAGACACTTAACCGGTGCGTACATGTATACCAAATTGTTACATTATAACGAAGATGATAATAAATAAACAGCATTCAGCAAATACCAAATCGTAGATGGTAAGAGAGAGCGGGCGGGCGAGCACTGCGCGATCGGCCGATCGCGACGTGCTGCGTGTACAGTGTATGAGCGCAGGTCATTCTATCGATTAGGCATACGTTATAAATATGAATAACTTGGATAATTACAAGACACAGTATCGGTATCATTGATGATCACGTTCTGCGGAAACCCCCGAAGGTGACGCATCTTTCCTCCCTTATTCGTCCCCGATTAGTTGAGCTTATTCCTGTATGCAACATTTTCGATTTCTTCCGCGAACGAATTGGGACGTTTAAAAGTTGTGCAGTATCTCGGAACTTATGTTTAGTGTGTAATATTGGGTTTGAGTTTAATAGGTTCAGTGATTTCCTCCGTGCACAGTCAAGTATCCCTCTCGAGGGCCGATGCAAACGTGACCCCATAGATTGAATAGTCATAAGTTAAGTGTAAGTAACGACCGCTATTTTGTATGAGTCCCAATGTCGTACAAATGTTCGTCGAATCACATATCCCAGTTCTGCAGTGAGTGTTACGAAATCCCATCTTCGCACCCACCGACCGACACTCGCTACGTATACACGTTCCTAACCGGCATACGAACGCCGAAAGGCACCGTTTATAATCTAGTCACAATAAAAGGCAATTCTATTCTACGCGGTGGTTTGTAGCTTCATTCTCCCCTTAGATTCCTTTTTTATTCCTATTGTTCCTCCCCCTGCATCGCAGACAAATATTAATTTAAGTGCCGGCGGAACAACCTAAAGCAGTGCTCATTATCAGGTAAGTAACCACGGCTGGGTGATTTAATTCTTCCTACTAGATAACCGTAATTGGCAACATTTTGAAATTCGTTGGCCTGTACAAGATCCCAGAGAGGTTCGATCAAAAACCGATGATATTTCTGAAATTTAGGATCCCAAATTAAGAGGGACATTTTTTACTCCTTTCTAATATCCGTCCATTAAGTACTTTAAATCCAGTCACTGACGAACGACTGACAACGTAATAGGAAAGTGTGATGATGATTTCCATGATAATGAGAAAGTTAAGTGTAATCCAAAATAAAATGAATTCACTTGGGTTAGTTTTTCATGCGCAAATAGCATTAAATATATGGGTTTGGTTTAATTTATAAAATGGTACAAGTGAATGTACGTCGCGACACGTTCGGAATTCACATGCATACAAAGTGCGGGTACACCACATTGCATTATGGTGGACGTGGAAAAACGATAAATTATGCACCCTCGCTTCTGGCGAGGAGGGTTGCACTACCCTCACACGCTAAACCAAACTAAACGCATATTATGGTATCGTTGTCCGTTAATGTTATACCTATTACGAGATATTACGAGCCGTATGCTCCCCATTACAAAGTCCCTCGCGATAAAGATAATCCCATTGCACTTTCATGATTCCCCAAGACGAACAGGATTTTTTAATCCATTCTTAATAATCATTGACTAAACATTCACCCATCGCGAATAACTCACATCTCCATCTTTAGAATTTTAAATGATTAAAAAATTCATAAGTCTCAACAAAAGGAACAGCAGTAATGGTACTGATCGTGGTAAATTCAATCACTTTGCGAGGCGACGAGAAAACCATTTCCTTTAAAATTGTAATTTTCATGGAATTTCTAGGTAGCGAGATGAAGAAATGTAGAAGCTGGTAGAATACAGTTATCTCCCGGAAACGTTTTTCGGGAAAATATAAATAGTCATAAAGATGGTCTAAAATTCCGCAATACGATGTAGAATTAGATAAGATCTGCATTATGAAAGATCATAATGCAAAAGAGACAAAGTGTACTTCCGCGGAGGTCCTATTTTGCAGACGCAGAAAAATGTTTCGTCGAATCAGTCAAATTTTAATTGGTTCATTCACAGAATATGATTATTATGTGAATATTTCGTTCACGTGGCAAAATTCTTCGATTAATAACTTTCAGTTGATTGCATTAAATATCGTGGTAGATCACACCAAATATTCGGTTCAAACGATTTTATTCAACGAACCAAAATGGTTTTTTTGCGTTTGGGCTAGCAGATATGGCTACGTTTTGGAAGTATGGCACTACGATTGGTCCGGCAAGAGGGTATGCGATATCATACCTTGTTCTCATCATCTCTCATCATATAAAGGATACCTCGGATCCGTTTCTCGATCAATTTTCTTACCAAAGACTAGGGTCTTCTCCGCCCCAATTTTATGTAGCTCCTCGATTTGCAATTTCCAGGAAGTAATTTGGTCCCCGTCCTCTCCTCCTGCCTCTAGGATATTTGAATAAGCATCGGCGGGGCAACGACGGACCATCCCGTCATTCCCTGACGAAACGAGCATAGCCGAACCGTAGGTTGGCAATGGGTTTCTCTCGGATCGGGATCAGTCGCAGGAACGCCTAGGGACTTTCGCTCCAACGCTCGTCCTAGACTTCGTACAGTCCTGGGGACCCGGGGAGACATCCGCGTCCATATCTGAGGATTTGTCTGGCTAATAAACTACGAGACTCTGAATACGCCCCGCCATTTTCGTTCACCCTTCGAGTCGGGATTGACATCGGTGACTCGTATTGCGCTGGTTATTTGTAGGTCGGAAAAGTTAGGGAAAGGGAATTAAGGAAACGGATCATATACTTTTCCTTCATTGAATTGACTGAGTTAGAAGTCACTGTACTATTTTTCGCGAGGCGAACGTGAACGTGTTACAAATAAAGTGACTAAGAATATCTGTGCGAGGAGACGAGACGGTAAATCGACCATTGTCCAAAGTGGAAAGTTGTACGAGATAATAATATTTAGAGACCGACTCGAGAGGGAACGAAATTTCGACGAGGCGCCAAGTTGGCAACAATTGACGCCTGATCATACATGAAATTTACAACCAATAAACTGGGCAGTCAACCATTGCACGTCATCGGTGGGACTCGTCATCTCCAAGAAAAGCGGGTCCTCTTTTACGCGTTCTTTCTCGGCCAAGGTCACGGATGAAGATACAAGAAAATCCTTATCTACTATCCGATTCTGGTAAACTTCGACCCTTGGCTAACCGGCGGTCCGTTTAACCTTGTTTTCTGTTTATTCTTCGGCAAAATCGTGCTCGTTCACCTCTACTTCCACTAGGACGTTGCGGCAGAGTTTGCGCGGTTTAGACACTCAAAATATTACACGTCTGAGGAAGATAAAGTGACAATCAACATCAACTCAAACTGGCTCCGCGAGGGGTAATAAAGATACGCCACTCGTATCTCAGCCAACATCTTCGAGGTCTTATCTTTCCTGCAATGGCGTGAGCTTCTCGCGTGCCGCTACAAGCAGATTTTCATAATGCTCCTTATGATGCTTTCCCACTTTTCGTTTCTCGGCAATGACTGTTACCAACGAAAGCTCGTGATTCCTCCGAACTTCTAAAAAAAACGCTTCATTTTAAACGACTCCCTAAATAAAATGATTTATCGTGTTCATCACTTTATCCAATATACCCTGAGGATGTCAATGACTAATAATCTAAGTAGTCGACGAAGCATCTCGTAAATAAAAAAATTGCTGCATGGCCGTCACGCGCGTTAGAAATGAAACTCCTACCTCAAAGAGAATCGTTACATACTATTCCTTATTCTTAATTATT